TGAATACATGATAAGTGATCTATCATTGAATAAAATACGTGAAAATAATAAAAAAAATTCTCAATCCGATCAATTTTTATGCTAGGGCTGTCAAGTAAGAGTAACACTAACAGAACAAACAAAGATAAAGCCAAATTGTTGCTTTTCTTTCTGTCTAACTCACTTCCTTTTTTCTTTGAGTTTCGAAAATATCTCCATTCATAGGTCCGAGATCTATATCTATGAATTGAAAAGGTCCAAATGATCAATTCTATAATCAGTTGTTACAGTCGTCATTCCCCAGAGCTTCACTTGCAAAATTATTTCAAGCACCAACAAAACCAAAAACACCCCTCTTTCAAAGAGAGGATGAATTATTCACATTTCATTTGATGGTCGGCGATGAGAATTGAAAACTAAATCGTTGTAATTTTGAAAATTCCTGGCGCTATGCTTGTCTTCTTGGTGGAAGGGTTCAAATTCAGTAAAATGAATGAGCGAGAGCTATTTAAGAAAGAGGCGGAACGTCTCTCTCCGTAGCAGCAAAGGGAAAATAAAATATTGATGCAATCAGAGATAGACTTTTCGACAAGCGGAAGTAGATGCTACACAAATTTTGGTCATAATCTACAATTTCTGCACCCAATAATAATGAATCATTTCTTAACTAAAATACACCGGAAAGTAGAGGAACGCAAGGACCTCACGATCCATAAAATAGAACAAAAATGGAATAGGGGGAAAAATAGGGATAGCATATCAGAGAACACACATTCCAGCAGTACGTTCATATAAATATCCTAAAAGAAAAATATATTAAGGCAACAAAACCAGCTTTAAAGGTCCCAGACCATCATCACTGCCAAAAATCATATTTACATTTCATTTCTCTGATGCACCAGAAAGAAAAACTACTTTCTCATATAAGGTCGATTGCTACAATTACTAACCAAGAACCAATAAGAGTCAAAATTTACCATGAACTTGCATGGCAAAGACACCAACCTAAACAAAATTGTGAAAGTTGGCTTGTAAATAAAATTTAGCAGGCTCTTCTAGACTAACCTTTGAATGAGACCCGAGCATCGTGATGCTAAACGTAGATTAGCCATCCCCCCGAATGCTTTGCTCAAACCAAAGCTACAGAGTCCTTCACATCATATGAAACAGCGCATGCTCCAATCCATGCAAAATTTGCGGCATAATTGAGCCCATATATTAGCATCTCTGTGCTGTTGATACACGGTATACTTTCTTGCCAATTTTCATTCCAGTTGCCATCCATCATCCTTGCATTGTATGTCTGAGGCACCAATAGCAAATAAAACACTACTCATTTTCCACCATGGACATCACTGGAATCCCCTTGGTAGAAAAACTTGAACACATGACTTGCACCTCGTCTCCTATCTCAAAGTCCCTCTTGCCACTAGTCTGCAAGGCAAAATGAAAGTTAAAATGACATGAACCCCAAATTAGACATTAAATTATACATCTTAAGGGTTGAGTAACTGTTGAATTCATCAAACTCTGTCTATATAAAACTTATGTCTGCCATCCTTGGACAAAAAATAAAGAAATCAAACACCATGCATGACATTGCAGGGAATTTTGGAAACCACTAATCTAAATTCTTTGTGCAAAATTTAGCAGCCACATAAAACTTACATATTCTTCTGCCAAAACAACTGAAAGGAAGATAAAAGGATGGATGTTGTACTTTCTACAAGCATTTACCATAAAGCCTTTAACCATTACCAAATATACCCAAAACAAAACTGAATTCAAAGGCAACATTACAAACAAAAGAGTGAAAAAATACCTCAAACCGGTACATTCCACGAATTCCACCACCCAAGTCAAGAACTAACCCACGTGCACGAATTTGATGAACCTTAGCTGTTACCTGCATTCCAAGCTTTAGCTTTTTCGCATTCATGGGAGCCTCAACTGCATGTTCCCTATCATTTAAATCATTCCGCGAACGAGTTGCGGATGAAGAGTTGCATTCATTCTCATCTTCATCATCACCTACAAAGTTAGTATTGGATTCTCTCTCTTTTTCCTTTGGCGAAAATGATTTTGACGACTTGGCATTTCTGGATGAAAAAATATCAGAATCGGCAAATGGTGAGTCAAGCACATTTTTTTGAGATGGGGATGCTTTTGACTTGTGATTCGAGTCAGACTTCGAAGTGCTTAGGGATCTAGAGCTACTTCTAAAATTCAGATTTAAACCAGCAGATTTTTCCTCCTCATCGCACTCTGCAGCACTTCGAATCAGAACTGCCGGTGTTGAAGAAGAAGAGCTTGCCCCACTAGTGTCATGTTTATCCACTGGCAAATCGTCCACCACATTCTTTTGTTTTTCCTGCTCGTCAGGCACATCACCAACAGTTTCCCAAACATTAGGTACATGATTTTTGGAATCCACAGATCCCCCAAGCACGTTGTTTGTCTCTGATACTAGTCGAGGTAAAGTAGCTTTAAGAGATAACTTAATGTTACCACGAACGTCTTGTCCTATGCACATTAGAGAAAGTTGCTGCCCAACAGCTACCATGTCTGAAACCCGGGATACCTAATGAGATTTAGAGACATGATTTATCAGAAGAGATTCACAATAACATCACGAAGGGCATATGTATATGTTCCTCAATATGTAGATCCATAACAGAAAACCTGAACTCCCTAGGACATTGAGGTATAAAATGTTTCCAGGAGCACATGAATAGAAACTCAAGAAAAATGGCTAAAAAAATAAGACAAACTGAAATGAAACTTTAATCCTTGATACTGGTACAAAACAATCTCCAGGTTTCAGCATGTTATTACAACGCCAGGGGAGCAAGGGAAATACATGATAGCTTAGACAGTCTAAGCAAAATCCGCCCAAGCAATAGGTGTTGGCTCGAGTCCGGGAGTCGAAACTCTACAGAATGGGGGTAAGACTGCCTAGTGCCTACTACTTACCTCTTCCCCACAACAGGTGGGAAGCCTTGTGAACTACAAATTGTTTAAGAGGAAAGAAGGGAAACCATCAAGATCGCTCTAAACTACCCCTAATGATCTACATACCGGTTCATGGGACAATTCAGAAATGTGTAAGAGCCCTGGTTGGCCACCATTGAACTCCACAAAGGCACCATATTCTTTGACTGAAGTTACAACCCCTTTATAAATCCCTCCAATTTCAATCTCACGCCCAACTATAAAATCAACCTGAGAGAAGAAATTAAAAGCACTTCAATTAGATAAAATCATAGATGGCTCAATTGCAAACAATATGATAACAATCAGCATAATATATGAAATTAAAATGAAATGGGCCTAAAAGTAAAACTAAGGAAGAATAAACTCTCCACGACTCCAAAAGAAAAAAGAAAATAAAAGTAAGAAGTTTTATGTTTCATCTGTAGCTAATGATAATTTTCAAAAAAGAAAGGACTCCTTTAGGGCTAAACTATTACCATTTCCATGACCCGCAAGAGGCTAGAAATTATTAAATAAATGAAACTGATTCAATGCTACGAATTAAGAATGGTTATGAATCACTATGTTGTGAATTCCAAATCACATGGCAGACCAAAGTCCAAACTGGAATAACCTCATGGCAAGACAGATTTCTGATTCCAATTTCTGCCCAAGCTAGGTTTGCTTCATCCATCCTTCTTTCATTTTCATTAGCTTATCATCTCATCAATCTTCAATACCTTTTAAATTAATATTTGTGAGTTTATTTCTGTCAGGAAAAAAATATAATTAGATTAGCTCTACCATCTATAACAGCAAAACAGGGAACCAACTTTCGGTCAACCGCTTCCACACTTCAGGACAAAGTGACACGAGTAAATCAGAAAAAGCAGCAATACACGTAAAACAAACTTGTAAGACAGTTTTGCATTGTACTGGACAATATGGAAGACAGACACAGTGGACATCCATCACCAGACTTGTTATTGCAGAAGATAAAATAGTGGCACAACCAATTTAATATAAAAAAAATTGCCCACATTCGGAAACCAATCAATAGGGTATGTACATGAGGTGGTAGAAGCACATTCCATTATTAGGTTTGTGAGATAAAGAGAACAATAATTTCATTTCTGAATAGATAATACCAACATTCCGCTTAATTCACTCGACAGTAGACAGAAAGTCCCACAGCTTTGAAACAATATGAGGGAACTTAATAAGCAACAGTTAATTTGAAACACTGCTTGCAAAATTAAAATTGATGAAATTTTGAAATAGACATTTGATCTTGATAATAAGAGTTTATTTCCTTCAGATTAGGATAGAAAATACAAGTCAGTTTGAAACTTATCAACTAGCACAACTGCATAGGTTGCTTTGGCAACAAGGATTCAATTCCTCAAGGCATGAAGCTAAAATCTAATGCATCATCATCATATTCTCCTGACTCTAATTATACATGATTTTAATAAAATAAACCATATTTTTTACAAAGAAGGGAGAAGAGCATATCTAAAAGTTGTGAACAGATCCTAGGACCATAGTTTTTAAAACCAATTCGTAATGAAATGTCACTCAGAAGAGGCACAACATTTTATTCCAACTAAATAAATACAATAGGTCACTCAGAGCAGAAGATGAGGGTCCAGTCTCACGCAATTCCAACGAGTGTATGCTACGAGCAAAATAGGTCAGCAAGATTGCAAAAAAACATACCTTTTCTTGTACTTTTTCCATGACAGATTGATTCTTAGCAACTATCGTAAGGGTTCCATCACTCACAGAGATCCGTGCACCTGAGTTTTGATACGAAAACAAGATTTAGACAAGTAATATGCATGTATATGCACAAGAGTAATGCTACATAAACTTAAAAAGTAGACTTAAAAATTAAACCTGAAAATCTCAACCATTGATTTCACTGTGGGTCCCAGCATTTATTGGGACCCACTACCTATTCAATGGTTGAGATTATCAAGTCTAATTTTTAAGTCTACTTTTTAAGTCCATGTAGCATTACTCATATGCACAATTCAGACATATTTCTAAGGATTTCAGCAAAGAACACATTTGAGAGATTGAGAACATTAATGAAATAACTCTGTGAATGTAAGTAAATCATAATCCATAGTTATAACAGTCGAGAAAAAAAGTTGTCAAACAACAGGAAATAAATTAATTATAAAGCAAGTTCAGAGCATTCTTGAAAGCATCTAGTGTCACACGTTAAAAACCAGTAGAGTTTGCAGGAATCCAGAATATATATTAGTCCTTCAATTAGTTCAGAATCATATCTAAAAGAATAAGCCCAAAAGAAGAAGAAAAAAGAAAGTTCCTCACCCACTTCGTCACAAAACCGAATGTGGCCCTCTTGGCAAATCACACATAAATTATTAAGTTTACTACACATACATATATATGCCTAAGGTTTTAGACATGGTGTCTCAAAAAAACATAAATAAGGGTCAGGATTTCAGAAATAGTTATGAACATTAAAAAGGATGAGCCTCAATAGAAAATGCACAAATTCAGGTCATTCATGCCAGTGGACTGTCCTCCAAAATGCAATTATGCACTCTATTCATAAAGGAAAGCTAAGAATAATAGTATCACAAAATAAGGCCACATAAACCATGTCCAAATGACCATTACCAACTAGGTAAAGAGGGTAATCAGAGAAATTTTATCCAAACACCCAAAGTAATTATAGTCAGTTGTTTCTTTTTTGCACAAAAATTATCATAAGCATAATCAAACTGAATAATACCTGTTTCTTCTTCAATTTTTCTCTTTAAAGCACCAAGAGGACCAATCAAATGACGAAGAGAATCATTACTATACTTCAAGGTGGCTGCAACACAGAACAATGAACTATTAGAGAAGCATAAAAGTACATCAAAATATGAAAATCCAGCTGTTAGCTTGAGTAACTATCTGAACAAGGAAGGTATAAAGTTACACAGCAACAAGCAATCCACAAAACCAAGAGGGCACTAAAAGATGGGATATACCTAACCGAGGAGAGTTCTTGTCATCCTGAGTACGCGGTGCATTGATCTCTCGCTCCATATGTTCAAGGATTTGAAGCCGCCCTTTAAGTGCAGGTTCTAAACACTCACAAATAATATCTAAAGGAATTCCAGCGGGTTTTATATCCAATTGAATTGCTGTTATCCCATTTCGTGTGCCTGCAATTTTAAAGTCCATATCCCCCAGATGATCTTCCAGGCCCTAGAAATAACCCACATGAAAGAAAAAAACACAGAGAAAGAAAGAAACAAGAAAAACACTTAGAATGGCAAAAAGAACCGGACGGTCTACCAGCTTTTGTAGACTACAAAATGTTAAGCTCGAAAAGAACATCAAAACAAGTATGGCAAAATCATTACCAAAATATCAGTTACAATACGATAATCCTTGATTGTGCCGGTTGATGGGTCAACATCACTAATAAGGCCCACCGACATTCCCGCTACATGTTCTCTTAAAGGAATTCCCGCATCCATCAAAGCCATACTGCCTACAGGAAGGAGATAAAAAGGAAAAGCTTTTAATACTCAAAGATTCATACGTGAATGACAGATTAGATCGTGGAGAACCATTCAACTGCAATTGGAATTGAACGTTTGGTCAAAAGTATATTATTCATATCAAAGGTTTTCAACTGATATTAATAGTTTAATACCAAACAATTGAAGAGAGGAAATTTCCATGTGCATATTATCACCCAGTGATAAGAAGCTATTACAGGAGTTGGAAAAGGATACCTCCACAGACAGTTGCCATTGAAGTTGAACCATCAGAAGACATGACTTCTGAATTGATACGGACTGTATATGGAAAGTCATCTTCCGGTGGTAATACAGCAAGCAAAGCTTTCTCAGCAAGAGTGCCTATATAGGTTGAACGCAGCTAAACAATGTTAACAGCAAATTTGTTGACATGTTATGGAAGTATGAAAAATGTCAATTAGCTTACCATGCCCAACTTCACGCCTATTCAAGCCACCTCGCTTACCAACTTCATTAATGCAAAATGGTGGAAAACTATAGTGAAGCATGAAGCGCTTTGTTGGGGGACCAACCAGGGAATCCAAACGTTGAGCATCTCCAGGTGCTCCAAGGGTAACAGTACAAAGAACCTGTATATAAGATCAAATGTATGCCAAGAGAAATAAAACTTCACAAAATTGTTCTTACAAAGGAGTACAATGTTTCTACACCATCATTGATCGAAGTAAACCAACATAACAGAAAAAAATTAGTGACTAACCTGAGTATCCCCTCGTGAAAAGAGTGATGATCCATGCAATACAGGTAAATTACCGGCTTCACAATACAGAGGCCTAACCTCATCAAGACGTCTCCCATCTACTCGAAGTCCTTCAGCAATGATTCTCCTGCGAACAACCTGCAATTTTCAAGGAAAAAAAAAAAGTCACCATCATATTTCAAGAACATAAATTTAACAAAATAAACGTATCAAAGAACCCCGATATTTTAGGGGTCCAGAAGACCATCCATCCTTGTACTCCTGATGTACTTCCCATCATCATAAACTTCAAGAATGGCAAATCTGAAGGTTTTTGGTCCAATAATAGGTCACATGGCACACTGTAATCTTGTTCAAGCCAAGGAGACATATCATCCAATGAAGCACACATCAGCAATATCTATTCTGAATAGGATACACTGAACTCTCTTAGCTCTTTTATATAGTGATCGTGGCATTGAGAAGCATATAGCAAATGCCAACACATGGGAAAGAATTCATAATCTATTATGTGTTCAACAAGGAGGAAAGGGGAATTGTTCAAACATATCCTATCATCAGTTGATGGATATGGCCTGCAAAATAACTACAGTGGCTACAAAGGAAAGTGCTGATTTTGCAGATCTATGCTGTAGGCATACCTCTTTCCTCACTGTGTCAACTGTCTTAGATAAAACTTTTAAGCTTTCTTCATCACATTCTTCCTCAAGTGCTCTTTTTACATCTTGGGTAATCTTGTCTAGGGCCTCTCCACGTTCAAACTGGATGTAAATAATAGAAAATCATTTCATTCAAAAGGAAAAGTCAAACAAAGACGCAAGGAAACAGCACCAAATGTACACGAAAATACACAAAATTCAGTATAATTTCAAAATCATTATGTTGCATAAGCAAGACTGCTGTGAACCTTGCCATACGTGGGATCTGTAAAAACAGCTTCAATAGGAGCTTCGGCTAGACTTTTGATTTTTTCAAAGGTTTTCTCTGACGTCACAGACAGTTTATATTCCTTCTTCTGTTTACCAACTTTGGCTGCCAGTCTGATTTGAGGCTCAAGGTATTTAACTGCCTGCGAATAATCAATGCATGCTATACAAATCAAATAGTAACACAAATGCTGTAGAAAGGAACGATGAGTAATATGACTGACCTCAGGATGAGCCAATTGTAATGCAGCCTTGAGATCTCTTTCCGAAATCTCACGGGCTTGCACATCTATCATCAAAGTTTTATCCTTTGTGCAGGCATATACCAAGTTAAGATCACTTAAGCTAAGCTGCATGACACCCAACATGTCATAAACTCCAGTCAGAATTTAAAATAAATTGCAAGTATGAAATGGCATCCATCATATTATGAGGGGCACAGCCATTGGCTCAAGTGTTATATGGGTAAGATGGGTTTGCAGTAAATCTTATTATCTAAGGTATGAACTAACCTGGCAATAAAACATAAAAGGTTGGGTGACAGTGGCGCTATACTTCCAGGATAACAGAGAACATAGAAATATTTCAAGCTGACTCAGCCTTACTTAAGCCCATGTTGGTACACCAATTACATTACATGTATGAGTGTAATAGTAAAAAAGGGTCAACGGTGTTAATTCAGATCAAAGAAAAAAGAAAGAAACAAGAAAAAGAAAATAATATTGAGGCACAATAATCCAAAACAACATAAAAGAAAAATACATACAAGAGGTCTTTATATAGTAGGCAACATAAAAGAAAACAAATGACTAAGCTACCCCTAAGTCTAAATATTTTAACTACTCTAACACCCTCTCTAAAACTCATGATATGGTAGCATAAAACATCAAGAGTTTGCCAAGAAGAAAACAAAAGCGAGTGATTGAATGCGACTTTGTGAAGAAATCTGCTAACTGCATAGTAGAAGAAAGAATAGGGAGGGAGATAGTGCTCAACTGAAGATGATGACGCACAAAGTGGTAATCAATCTCAATATGCTTTGTGTGCTCATGAAAGATTGAGTTGCAAGCAATTTGAATAGCACTAATGCTATCACAATACACAGGAGTCGGCACAGATAACATGATGTCAAGATCAGCAAGAAGTCATCGTAACCAAACTATCTCAATTGCAGTAGATGTCATAGCACGATATTCAGCTTCAGCAGATGAACAAGAAACAACAGTTTGCTTCTTACTTTTCCAAGAAATAAGAAAATCACCGAGAAAAAGGCAAAAGCCCGTAGTGAACTTACGATCTATAGAGTCATCAGCCCAGTCAGCATTAAAATAAGTCCCAAGTTCCATAGAGGAGGAGGAGGACAATAACAAACTCTCTCGAACATACTGAAGAATACGAAGAACCACAGCCCAGTGAACAGTGGTGGGTGAAGCAACAAATTGACTAACAATATGAACAACATAGGAGATATCCGGTCAAGTGACTATAAGATATACTAAACTCCCAACAATAGCGCGATAGAACATAGAGTCAGATAGGGAAGTACCATCAGAAGAAGAGTAACGGACATTGAGCTCTAAAGGTGTTTCAACTGTCTGATTATCTAAAAAACGAGCTCATTCAATAACATCTGAAGCATACTTGGACTGAGAGAGAATATAGCCTTTAGAGGAGGAAGCAATCTCAATACCCAACAAATATCTAAGATACCCCAAATCTTTCATCTCAAAATGGTCCTGCAACTGAGTTTCAATAAACATATGCCAGCAGTGTCATCACCCGTAATAATCATATCATCAACATATAGTAAGAGAATAATAGAACCTGAGGAAGTTAACCGTAAAAGAGAGCAGAATCATGGTCACTAGCGCGAAAGCCCAAGTCACAAATAATCGAAAAAAATTTAGCAAATCATGCCATGGGAGCCTATTTAAGGCCATATAAAGCTCGGTGAAGTTGACATACTTGACCAAGACTATGAGACAATCCAGGACTAGTCATAAAAACCTCTTCACTTAAATCTCCATGAAGAAAAGTATTTTTTACATCCATCTGAGACAAATTCCATTGGCAAATGACAGTAATTGCAATCACTGTGTGAACGGTAGTCATCTTCGCAACAGGGGCAAAAATTTCATCATAATCTATATCATACTCTTGAGCAAAACCCTTGGCTACTAATCGAGCTTTATACCGTTCCACAGAACCATCAGACTTGATTTTTATCTTATAAATCCACCTACAACCAATGGTGCGTTTACCAAGTGATAAAGACACTAGTCCCAATCTCTAGTCTTATGTAAGGCAGACAACTTTTCATCCATAGCCTATTTCCATTGTGGATCAAGTAAAGCCTCCTTATAGGAGGTGAGTTCAAATAGAGAGTGAATAAAAGTAAGAAAAGAACAAAAGTCAGGAGAATAACAAGTATTACTCCAACCAAACCTGTCTGAACATTTGCGAGAGCGTTGAGGATAGCGTAGGGTATGATCTACAGTATCTGAACCTGATTGGGCAGCAGGAGGAAAGTGGGGAGACGCCACATCCGTAGAAGATATAGATGGAGTCCAGCGAACATAAGTACCCAGAATAGGAGGACGAGGACCAGTCAATTCAGAAGGGAAAGAATCTAGGATAATTAAATCACCAATATATGTGTCATGAGGAACATAAGCAGAAAATGGATCAATGTATAGTAGATCGGACTTATTCAGTGGAGAAGAACTAGATGGAATTGAAAAGAAAGGAATATGCTCCATAAAGACAACATAGCGAGAAACATAAAGTTTATGGGTAATAGGATCATAACAACGATGCCCTTTTTGACCCTCATTATAACCAAGAAAGACACACAAAGCTGAGCAAGCATAAAGTTTGATACGAAGAACACTGAGGAGCAAAACAAAGCAAGTACAACTAAACACACGTAAAGAGAAATAGTTAGGCGGCTTACCACACAATTTTTTCAAATGGAGAGACTCTAGAGGTAAGAATAGTAGGAATGCAGTAGATCAAATGAACTACTATAAGAACTGCTTCCCCCCAAAATAAGATGGGAACATGGGCTGATAATAGAAGGAAGCATGTTGTCTCTACAATATGACGGTGTTTACGTTCAGCAACACCATTCTGCTCAGGTGTGTCAATGCAAGAGGATTGATAAAGTTTACTATCAAATTTCAACAAATCACGAAAAGAAGTAAGATTGTATTAACCTTCCTGATCACATCGAAAATATTTAATGACAACAGAATATTGAGTGTGGACCATGTTACGAAAAGTGGTGAAAATTAAAAAGAATTCAGATCGACATTTCATTAAATATACCCAACAGTACCTCGTATAATCATCAATAAAATAAACATAATATTTGGACCCTCCTTGTGTAGGAACAAAAGCTGGTCCCCCTATATTAGAATGAATAAGATCAAATGGTGCAAGGGAACAAGTATCACTATTATTGAAAGGTAATGAACTAAATTTAGCCAACTTGCATCCACTACAATTAGAAATGTCATAACACTCTCAACTGCCCAAACTATCGGTAGAAGCTAAAAAGTTTAAACGAGAATGAGAAACATGACCAAGGCGAGAATGTCACAAATAAAAACTAGAAGATTGTGAATTCAAATGAAAAGAAGATAAATCAACAGTAGACGTAGAAACTTCTGGAGCATGGAGCTCCTCCAACACATACAATCCTCCCTTTCTATGGTCTGTCCTAATCAGCTTCTTGGATTGTGGATGCACAATACAACTAAAAGAGAAAAAATGAACCAAAATTCTGAATCAAATAATTGACTTACGAAGATTAAATTCAAAGTGAGCTGAGGAATGTAATAGATATTAAGAAGTCTAAGATGAGAAGAAATAATTGTCCCAACACCAGCTAAAGACATTTGAGTGTCATTGGCTGCAAGTACAGATACATATGGAGGAGAAATAATAGACGCAAATAAATAAGAATTATTAGTCATATGATGTGTGGCACCTGAGTCAAAGACCCAGACGGTGCGGGACATACCTGAGGTAAATGAACCTACTGAAGGAGATACTGTAAGAGCACCAGACTGATGGAGAGAGAGTAGCTTCTGCAACTAATTAGTAAGCATAATTTGGTTGGGGGCCTGTGAGGAAGACTTATTCACCGGTGTTACAACTGCTGTTGAATGACGATCTTTGGGTTGAAATGACTGACTTGCTGTCCCCCTAGCATTTTTGTTCACTAGTTTAGGGCATTGAGCCTTCCAGTGGCCCTTCTCATGATAGAAACCACTCATCTAAAGCTACACGGACTCATTATTTATTTTGTGAATGAGAAGTCACCTTGGGAAGCATAGCCAATATAGTCTGAATAGGCAATGGAATAAGACATTTTTCAAAAAAAGTCTTAAGACGAACTTCTTTAGCCAAAAGCTCATTCACTACTGCATCAATTGAGGGAAGTGGATTATGATGGAGAATAGAACTATGAAGTCCCTCAAGTCATCCCTGAGGGCCATCAAAAATTGCACCAACCGCTGCTCCTCTCTAAAAGTGTGATATATCATATGAGTACTCAGTTCAACAGGTTCAGCAAGTACTTACTGATCCCAATATCTAGTCATAACTGAATAGAACTCTTGGATGTTCTTATCACCTTGACGTGAAGCTCGATTTTCATAATCTAACTGATACCTCTTTGTAAAATTGGACTGAACAAATAAGGTAACTAAATAATCCTAAATCTTCTTGGTTGTATTAAACTTAGTCAAATGAACATCAATGGTCTGATCAACTGAGTTGTTAATTCAAGTGATGATTTTAGCATTGTTGATTTCTCAAGTATTTTTTAAGTCAACATATTTCTCGGCCTTAGGATCCGTTGGAGCTGACGAATTACCATTAACATAACTCCACATTTCCTTACCTAACAAGAAATTTTGCATAACATAAGCCCAATATACATAGTTCTCACCTTTTAATCTAACACTAATAGCTTGCAGAGAATTAGAATTTTCACTGATCATAATACTCAAATCAAGCAATCCAAAGCAAATATTAAAGCAAACAAACAGTCCAATAACCTAGCAAAATCCAGCAACCCAAAGCAAAATAATGACCCACAGTAGTGATTTCAGTAAAATCTAGCAACCCAACAACCTAACAAAATCCAGTAGCCCAACAACCCAACAAAATTCATCAACCCAGCAAACAACAATAACTCAGCAAAACAACAACCAAGGCAAGGCAACAAAACAATGGAAGATCTCAGCAAAACAACAAGCAAGGAGAGGAAAACAAACGCAAGGAGGAGAAGACCCAAAGCGAAAAAGAGTATCTGTTACCCAAACAGAGCTGAAAGTCTCACAAATATCAACTTTCGGCCATTGTTCTTGTTGTAAACAATAGGCCGAATGTCCCAACCCTCCAAATCACACCAAAGTCCAACCAAATGTTTTCAAACCATACAACCAGCCATCTAATCCCCCTAATCGCACCTTTTAAACTTGATTTGAAGCAAAGAAATCAACCCCAAATTGCAGATCAAAAAATAGGTCAAAGGTTTTGAAAAAAATTCAAAAATCAAAAAACCCTATCCAATAGCCACGAAATCAAAAAACAAGCATACCACAATATTACCCATGTAAAATCGAGTCTAGCAATGTTCTTCATCTAGTCCAGAATGATGACGTCAGCATGACATCATCTTTGAAGCTCGTTGACGTCAGCCCTAGCAACTATTCATCTCTCCTCTATAGTATTGAAAATATTTAGGACCTAAACATGATCTGATACCATGTTAATTTAGATCAAAGAAAAAATAAAGAAATTTTATTGAGACACAATTAGTCAAAACAACATAAAAAAAATACATACAAGAGGTCTTTATATAATAGGGCAACATAAAAAAAAAAAAATGACTAAACTACCCCCTAAGTCTAAATATACTAACTATTCTAACACCCTCCCTCAAGCTCATGATGTGGTAACAGAAAACATCAAAAGTTTGTCAAAAAAAAAACAAGAACGAGTGATAGTATGCGACTTTGTGAAGAAATCTGCTAACTGCATAGTAGAATAAGTAAAGGGGAGAGAGAGTGCCCAACTAAAGATGACGACGGACAAAGTGGCAATCAATCTCAATATGCTTTGTGTACTTATGAAAGATTGAGTTATGAGCAATCTGAATAATACTAATGTTGTCACAATACATAGGAGTCGGCGCCGATAACATGATGCCAAGATCAGCAAGGAGCTATCGTAACCAAACTATCTTAGCTACAGTAGACGCCATAGCACGATATTCAACTTTAACAGATGAAAGAGAAACAACAATTTGCTTCTTTCTTGTCCAAGAAATAAGAGAATCACCGAGAAAAAGGTAAAAGCCCGTAGAGGACTTACGATCCATAGAGTCACCAACCCAGTCAGCATCAGAATACGCCCTGAATTCCATAGAGAAATAAGAGGAAAATAACAAACTTTGATACAAAGTACCTAGAAGATACTGAAGAATACGAAAAACCGCAGCCCAGTGAACAACAACAACCCAGCAAAACAACAACAAAGCCAAGGCAACAAAACAACAACCAAGGCGAGGCAGCAAAACAGCAACCAAGGCGAGGAAAACAAATGCAAAGAGGAGAAGACCCAAAGCATAAAAGAGTATCTGCTACCCAAACAAAGCTGAAAGTTGTCCATTAGAGGTGATATTACATAGAAGTCATTATATAAACAGATCCAGTAAAGTCATACAAATGTAAACAAATCCATAAAAAGTGGGAGAAAGAAGAAATTTTCAAATGGATTGAGAAGAAGGAAGGGGAGAAGGGCTTGGACATGTCATGATATCATCATATATCACAAAAGCATAATTCAGAATTAGACTTTTCACTGAAGTAGGCCATCTGGAGATATGCATGTCTTGCATGTCATTTTTTACTTTCATGGTAAAGAAATCCTATAGTATATAAGCATCAGTCTTACTAGTGGTAGGATGGCCTCTTCCTGAAGTTGATAACAATCAATTTGAGTGGTTAAGAGAACATGAATACATAAAATCGAGCTGCTCTAGGTGTTTCAGCAGCTATATGAAATCCAAAACTAACTAAGAACTTGTACAACTGTGCAAAAAATAGTTTCCACTACTTTATTACCACATTGCATCACACAAGTCAAACATTACCCAAAGGAAGGAACCTCTGTGAAATGAAAACTTTGAGTTAATGTGAAGACCACCAGCAGGTCCAGCACAGAAAAGAAAAACCCAACAATTTCAAATATACTTTCACATAAGGCACCTAGAACATACACAGAAAGCCCAAGAACATTCGCCAATTAATCCTTCCAAACAATAGAAGAAATAAAATGATTGATTGCTGAGAAGTAAATAACTGACAGAAGTACTACCTCATCCATACTTGGATTAACGATAAATTGCCCACAAATCCTGCCAATACGTATCACTCCAATCGGGCCAGCCCAAGGTATGTCTGATAACATAAGAGCAGTGGATGTCGCGTTAGCTGCCATTACATCTGGATCTTGTTTCCCGTCAGAAGAAAGGACAGTTGCCATTACCTAAAAGAATGCCAAAGTGATCACGTAATAGTATAGAGTTGGGAGCAGGAACCATATAGGGAAGAAAAAGGAGTGCAAAATCTCATCATACCTGGACCTCATGGTAAAATCCAGCAGGAAAAAGTGGTCGTATAGGTCGATCAATGAGACGACCACATAAAAGTTCACGTTCTTTTGGAGCACCCTCCCTCCGCATGAAGGTGGTTGGGATCACACCCTGAGCGAACTGCTTCTCTTGATAATCCACCTTCAAGGAAGAAAAGGCATTAATATCCTCATGTTGATCAGGGACTGAGGAACACCCCCGCTCTCCTCCAGTTGAATCAGGTGGGTTGCACCTCAAAGCACACCCACAATCAATAGGCATCCTCTTAACCAAACAGAGGTGTGACTTTTTTACAATAGGCATTAATCTTAACTCAACAGTATTCTGTTTTTGTGACAAAAATATTAAATCAGAAGCTGACTCTACTTATGGCGCTACCACGGGATTGGGGGAATAATGTTGTGGGTGGACTTTAGAAGATGTCCATATCATCACATTTAGAATAAGCAGGAATCATATTGTTCTTTCTCTTGTAAATGAAGAGAATGAATCTGGAGGGAGGTCATAAGAAGCAAACATATAGGCCTGAGGATACTCACCTCACCTCCCTATTAGCCCCAACAAAAACAAAAGCAAAACGAGCATGTAAAGAGAGATCTTGAACAACTTTCTTGCCCTCAACCTGTCTTTGACTTTATTTTTTCTTCTCAGCATTGAGTTTTCTGCTTGTCATATCCTGAAATTAGTTCCTCTTATTTTAAATATTCTTCTTTGCAATAAGGAACCTGAAAAAATCTTTAATGGATCTTTCCAAAACCAATAATGTTCTTTTTTCTGCTTTTTTTGCTAGTTGACTACTTGTTTTCTTGTCATGAGAAGCTCTTTCTTCCCTTACGTTTTTTGTTGATTTTCTTAACAGCAATCCGCTATTTTTCAAATATATACCACAATGTCCAAAATGAAGAATACATACTTGACTTCAATTTTTAATAGAAAAATAACACAATAATTTCATTGGCATATGAAAACTGAACCTGCATGATGACAACTTACTTAGCGAAAGTAGATGGCATTTAACTCTCAAGTACAATGGGAATTCCTAATTTTACACTAGAAATCATGATGATTAAAGTTCCAAGCACAAATACAAAATAATAGAACATTTAAAAAGAAAAATGATGGTGAAGTTGGAGGCTGAGACCGTGTTCATAACATTGATTATTCAACCAGTGTGCTTCTGTCCTCAGATTTGAACCAAAGAACCATGCAAAACTCATTTGTGATTTATCATTGTACATCTGTAGGACAAGTATATTGTCTAAATATAATTTTCTGAATCACTATAGCGAACTCCTATCCAAACTCACACATTCCACCAACCATTAATCTCAACCTTAACCTCTGAATGTCAGACCATGTATTCCATATTTTCACAAGGACCCTTTATATATCCAACCCAAAATAAAGTGCACTCATTTCCACTGATGGTGGACTCAACTCCCAAATATCCGTTAACCTATTCTACATCTACATCTACATAAAGTGTCATCGTATGCCATTGCTACATTAACTTAGAATCAAATTTTTTACGAATATTAAATTCAGTCTCTGAAAGTGTACAGAAGACCACAAAGCAGTTGAATAATTCTGAAATTAAAAGATATAAACGCTGTGAAATTTATTGGACATACAGTGAGAGGCAAGAAATCACGAACAGCATCGCCTTTAGCCGAAGTGACGGTGGATAATACTTTGGTCTCTTCCATGGCTAAAACGACTGCACCGTTGGCGAACCGAGCAATCTTCCCCGTTTCTAGCGTAATTTGTTTTGATCCGATCTCGAACTCTTCTCTAAAAGTTTCGAGGACTTTCACTCCAGGCTCTCCAGAGGGTGCACCTTCGGAATCCGCGGGTGACGCCGACGGAGAAGTCGACGGGGCAAAACCGAGACGACCACTGCAAATTGTACGGAATCCGAATCTTCTCCAGGTGAAAATGTAAGGCAGGCATGAGAGAAGTGGGTTGGTTCTGCTCGCCATCGATGCCATGGCGGAGAGAGTGGAGAATGGTGGCGAGGGTTTTGGGTTTAAGAGTTTAAGCGCGAGAGACGCCGTCAATAGGCGAGCACGGGGTTTAAGCAAGAATGAAATCTGATACTTTTTTTAGGATTAATTACAATTTGTCCTAACTAACTATGCCTCTTATTGCAATCAACTCTTTATAGTTTCAAATACTACAATTTTTCCACTCCAAGTTTCAAATAGACTAAATTGACTGACAACAATGGTTAGAACATGAAAGTACCATTACACTCTCCATCTTATACTTTATTTCTCATATTTTTTTTTTGAAATACCAATTATATCACTAAAAAAATATGGAAACGAAAAAGGCAAAAAAAAAAAAAATTATATATGTGTGTGTGTGTGTGTGTTCAACCCAACATCAACAAGTTACACAATGCCATGTTGGCCTTCATCTTCACTTCCACCTCCACCCAACAATAACACTAGTGCACACATACACACAAAAATTATTTTCTAAGAGTAATTTTGTCTTTTCAACAAAATAAATATCACGTAAATTTTTCATATCTAACTTGTATCATTTTTTATGGTCTAAAATTAATCTCCCAGAGTTGTTTGCATATCTTGAATTACCTTATTGGAATTAATTGCAAAATATTTAAATTTAAAAGGGACAATTTATTAAAATTAAAACCTAAAAGGGTGAATGACAAACTACTCCAAGTTGAAGGGAATATTTTGTAATTAATCCACTTTTTTAATTGCCCTAAAAAATAATTATAAATACTTCACGGCGTCAATGCAACGTTTATCACCGCCGCTCAACGATTTTTCTTTTTCGTTTAGGATGAAATACGCTTTGGGCCATTCATATATATGTTCTTTGTTAATTTAGTCCCTAAAATTATAATTTTATTAATTTTGATATTTGGTGTTTTCAATTTGAGTGTAATTAATCCAATTTTTAGTTATTCTTTAAAAAAAAATATATATATATATATAACTATTTTTAGTTACAATTGGATTTTTTTTGGATAATTTAGGGAACCAACATCTGCACCTTATCACGAGCACCAATTTCTCTAGAGTAATTTTATATAGGTTTAAAATATTTATTTAATCAATCACTATTGTTGATTTACTGTGAGTTCTAATATTTATTATAAACTATTGCCTATTCAATAAATATAATTGACTACGGCAACATTTCAAGCCTACATAGTATTTTACATCTCTCTCCCATTTTTAGTATTTTACATCTCTCTCCCATCTTTTTCCCGTCCTTCTCTCTTGTATTCATCATTGTGCCCCCACCCGTTGTAGACCACTTTCGCTCCACCACCTCCACTTCATTACCACCAGGCAACAAAAACAAATGCCCAACACCACAAGCAAAAATGACTAGCGACTGCCTCGTCATTGCACTCTCCTCATCCCACACTTAACTCTTTGATATAAACCCATCACTTTTTTACTACAAAAATCACCATCTTACAAAGCCGATAAAACCTAATAATTTGAACCACGTATGGACCGAGGGCCTATACAATCACCACCATCACCAAATCAGGGGTTTGTGGGTTGAATTCATATAAAATTCGTTTATATTTCGTGTGTTACATGTTGAATCATTTTCGAGTTCGTGTTAAGTTATAATCAATTTTAACTCGTTAAATTCATATACAATTCGAGTCATGGCGTTATGTTAATTTAAAAATTGTCACCCTTTCCTAGATTCATCAATCATCCAATTTCATCTCTGACTTAACGAATTAATACCACCATTTATACAAATGCTCAACAATTTTAGATTTATGGTTCTATTGGCTCAACAATTACTCGGGCATCAATCCAATCGGACCTGTTTGACCAGTCCAAATCTGCCCCCACTCAATGAGCTATTTGGTAAGTCGGTATAGGAGTGTGTTGGTAAGATGAGCGTGGATAAAATAATCTAATAGACCACAAAATTCTTAATTGGATGGTTTTTTCAAGCCATGGACAATAATTCTGTCCGTAGCTAGTCCGACGTTTTAAATTATTGAACGTGGGTTTTATCAAACTCATGCTAGAGTGAATTTCGGTCAAATCGTACCTGAATTAGTGAGATAAATTATTTGTACTCTTAAGTTAAATAAATGAGTATAAATTAAATTAACTAATGAGTAATATAGTTATTTATAAAACAAATATATTATGATAATAATAATATATTCCTAAATCTTACACATATATTTATTATATATTAAATATGAGTATCAACGTTAAATTTTATTTTTACAAAGAAATTTGAGATATCCAATCTAAATTCCCGCCAAAAATCCCTCGGTGGTAAACGACAAAAAGAACGAGGGTGTGGCGACAGAAAAAAAGACACAACACGAGGGAAGGGGTACCAATCCACGAAAGCGATCCCATAAAGCCAACTTCGAGAATCCAGACAAAGTATTAATGCTTCTCAGACTCCGCCTGGGTGCCATGAACGGTGCCACCGCCATTCTGTCTTCATCATCAGTATCATCATCCCTAACCCTAAAAAACCCTAGGTTACTAGAGTCTTCGCACACAAAGCTGATCAGTGGAGTTTCCTTCAAGAATAGTCCCTTTCTTCCCACTCGCTTTCCCGGTGTCTCTATCCGTTGCTTCGCTTCAGCCACCATGGCTGTTGATAAAATCCGAGTTCAAAACTCCATCGTCGAAATGGACGGTAATGTCCCTTGAATCCTCTGACAATTCCTACAAGTATTCTTATCCGTGTGTTTATTCTATAGTTTTGTCTTGTTGGTTTGTTTGATGATCATAGGCGATGAAATGGCCAGGATCATATGGAAAATGATCAAAGACAAGGTTTGAGTTGGCAAGTTCTAATTGTTTTATTTTTCCCTTAGTTCTTGTGATTTTAATTTTTATTTTGAAACTTATTTTTGTGTAATGTTTTTTTTTTCCAAATGATTGCGGTTCAATTTGGTTGCAGTTGATATTTCCATATTTGGATTTGGATATAAAATATTATGATTTAGGGATATTGAATCGTGATTCTACTGATGATAAAGTTACCGTGGAAAGTGCTGAAGCAACTCTTCAGTAAGTCCGTTGGACTATGTTTCATTTAGACTTTTTATCTAGTCTGTAACTCTCACGTACTGTAGTTTGCTGGATATATTTGTATTGTATATGTTAATTGAGGTTTTGAATTCGTTTTGTGCCAATAATATAATTTAGGAGTATGATTATTGTTATGCATAACTTTTGGGCTATGTACATAGGCACTTCTTTCACAGGATGCTCTGCTTCTTGCTATTAGATACCTGTGATGTCCATGATCAGTGAATAATCACAGCGCAACGGGATTATAATTGATATTATTATTGTTATTGTTATTATTATTCTTTCGGTTATTATCGTTATCGTATAATTGTAAATCACCCAATCAGGGGGAGCTTGGGGATAATGAATCTCAACACCCAGAGAGTCTAAAAAATATCTATCAATTAACTTGTATGTGTGTTTGAGTGTTTGTTGTGCTTGCGTGCATGTGTTCTTTTGCTAGAGCTGAGTTATGTTTCAATGAAATATCTTGGGGATCCATGTGTCCCAGTTTCACTTTGAATGTAACTGAGACTTTGAATGGTGAAATGATGTAAATCCACGTGTCCCAGTTTCACTTTAAATATAACTGGGATTTTTAATGGTGAAATGATGTAAATTGTATGTATTAAGTTTATAAATACATGATTGGTGTAGGACCTTGAATAAAATAAAATGTTGTTATGAAAGACATGTCAGAATAGAAATACAAATATGCTTTCGAGTGGTTCATGTCATAGTTGGCTTGAGGCAAAAAAACAAGCACGATAGAAGTAATGGATTGCGATGCGATTCTTTTGTGTTTGTATAACTGCAATCCTAATTTCAAAGCAATATACTATAACCTCATTTGGTTGTCATTTTTGACCATATATGTTTGGCAGGTACAATGCTGCTGTAAAATGTGCTACAATTACCCCTGGTTAGTTGTTATTTTTCCACCATTTACTGCTCTATTCTACTGTAAGCAAGAGTGAATTATAACAAACACACTGGCTTCAGTGCATATTAAGATTTATATGCACTTCTGAAATCACTCAAGTGGTGCTTTCTTATTTTCTTATTTTATTTAAAAAAAAAAAATGCTTATTGTTTCTACTCATAAGTCATGTCTCTAATAATGTTGCATTTGAAATGAAGGATTTCTATATTTAGAAATTGTACATCTGTTTAGTATGTTGGCATCAAATGTTTTTGCGACAGAGACTTGTATAAGCAGCTGTTCTCTTATGGTACAACTAAATTCATACAATTGTGCTCTCAGATTGTGTTCATTGAGGGTATTCATGCTCTTTTAGGTCTGGAGTCATCTTAGTTGGGATAATAGGCATGTTAAAAGTTGTTTTCTGTCTCATGGATGATATGGAAAGTATTATAATGCGACTTGTTCGTAGTTTGTTTGCCATGGCTAATTATATATATGGAGCAGCAGTTTTGTTTGCCCTTGATAGTCAATAAATAAGAATTATAGTACAATGTGTTCCTGGTTTGTTTCTCATTGGTAATTAAATGTCAGTGATTGGATGGGAAATGCTGTTTGTTTTTTGGATAATGTTTTATTTTTTATTTTTAAGCTTGCCAATTGGATCAGTGATTCTTTAGCCATACCTGTATTTTCTACTGGAAAAGTTAGGGCTGGTGAGTTGGATAGGGCGATTTGACATTTGTGCATGGCAGAAACTTTATTGTCAGTCACTCCTTATCCTCAAGAAGATTTCGCGTTTGTGCATGTCAGAAACTTGCTTGATGGATTATTGTTCTCATTACAATCACAAGAAGTTCATGTTGTTGGGTGATACCCTTTGACAATTGGATGAAGCAACATGCTCCATCAAATCTTGCATTTTTCTTCTTGGTTGGTGGAACTTTTGGTTGTATACCATTTTCCGTTTGAAGAAACTCCTACCTTAAATGTTGACCTCTCAAGAGGATATGTTGAGACTTTGATCTTTGAGACTTCATGAAATTTTGTTGTGATATTCATGTTACTTGTCTTTGAGTTATAGCTATACCAGATCTGATCTTGATTCTTTTCTGATGTTGCAGATGAGACCCGAGTCAAGGAATTTGGGCTGAAGTCTATGTGGAGGAGTCCTAATGGCACAATAAGAAACATTTTGAACGGTCCGTTTTTTATACATTAGGCCTGATATGGTTGCAACAGAAAATTCCATTTGTGTTATTTTTATTGTATTCAAAGTTATCGTGCCAAATGTCTTAAATGAAGCTCGTTCCTTGCTCTGGAAAGTACTAGTTGGTTTGCTTTGATGGTTCTGCAGACAATGTGCTCAGATATTTGCAGTTTTAGTTGCATCCAAACTTAGTATTTCACTCGGAATAACATTTTAAGCATGTCACCATTGTGTATGTAATGTACACTCGTGATATTCATCATTGAAGGCAAGAACATCTGTCTATCTAATTTTTGTAATTTCACTCTTCATTGTTCTTTGTCAACACATCCATTTTCCTGGTAAATGCTTGTCGTGTTCTCTTTTAACCTACTTTCTAGCTAATATGCATTGTTTGATGCATCTGGGTTTTTTTCACCCTGTTTAGATGGTTACTAATTTGCCTTGTAGGTACCGTTTTCCGTGAACCTATCATATGCAAGAACATTCCAAGACTCGTTCCTGGTAATGCATTGTTTATCTCCTCGTCAATGTATGTGAAATATGTGAACCACCACTTGGTATTTCTTTGCTGATTTGCAGGTTGGAAGAAACCGATTTGCATAGGTAGGCATGCCTTTGGTGATCAGTATCGTGCCACTGATATGGTCATTAAAGGGCCTGGAAAGCTCAAAATGGTGTTTGGTGAGCTACTTAAATTGAATTGGTGATTAGACAAATGAAAAAAACCTTTTCTTTCTCAAACAATAGTGGGCTGACAAAGTTATTTGTTTTTTCCTTTTTCTCAGTCCCAGAAAATGAAGAAACCCCTGTGGAGCTTGAAGTTTATGATTTTAGAAGCCCCGGCATTGCACTTGCTATGTACAATCTAGATGAGGTTTGTCATATGAACTGTTGGTTGGTAATCTGTTTGATATATCTTTTTTCTTTACCTAAAAGAAAATTTTCTGGCACTTTATAGTCTATTAGAGCTTTTGCTGAATCCTCAATGGCAATGGCATATGGCAAAAAGTGGCCTCTTTACTTGAGCACCAAAAATACAATTTTGAAGAAATATGATGGCAGGTATTTCATAAATCCTATTTTTGATTAGGTAGGTTGCTTTACTGTTTTTGAAATTTTGTGAACCTTAATTTTTCAATGAGTTAAAACTGCTTGTGGCATTGAAATTTTTTTGACCACTGCAGGTTCAAGGATATATTTCAGGAAGTATATGAAGAAAATTGGAAGCAGAAGTTTGAAGAACAGTCATTGTGGTTAGTTTGAGCTTTACAGTGAATTGTTCATTCACTTAGTTTCCTTTATCTTCAATAGTTCATGCAAATTTGGTGGCTGACATTCAGGTATGAGCACCGGTTGATTGATGACATGGTGGCGTATGCTCTTAAAAGTGCGGGCGGATATGTTTGGGCATGCAAGAACTATGATGGAGATGTCCTAAGTGATTTACTTGCTCAAGGTGAAATTAATGTCTAAATTTAAGAAAATATGTATCAGTTGAATATGATTTTATTCTGCAGTTTTCTGATTGTCCTCTTGAAAGCAAATTCAATTTTCAATGTAGAGAGATCTTTCTTATTGAATTTTATCATATGTGAATCCAATTGATTGTCAAACCCATCCTTTATGTTTATTGGAAGTAAATGTTTGATTTGAGATTAGGCTAAACGTAGTCCCGAGTACAAGGATATATGCATCCTGGGTCAAGCTGTTGAAGCTGCTTACCTACTTGCACGTTTGAGTTTTAAATGGTGGATCTTCCTGCCTGGCTTTCTGTTATAGATGAGGAAAAAAGTTAAATTCCGTTTATTGCAGCTAATGTTTATTGAGCTTGGCTCAAGACAGTTATTTGGCCTGAGTGATTGGATAGTTTAGTTAGTTATGCTGGTCCTTTAGCTTTCTTTGGATTGGTTATGCATAAGTTTTGTTCCTCTTGGTGAATCAATAAGATGGAAAATCTGTTCTCTGTTATGGTGATATTTCCTTTTGTATATAGCCTTTGTTACTATTCCGGTATCCATGCAAGTTTCAATAGCCCTTAGTTACGTATGGTATATTTTCAGTTTGACTGAAAATTCATTTCCTTTGGGCAGGATTTGGTTCTCTGGGCCTCATGACCTCTGTTTTGGTTAGTGCCGGCTTACTTCTTTATTCCTTTAGCTGTATATTTGGTCGTGTTATCAATAACTAGTTATACATGGCGTACAGTTAGCCTCTGATGGGAAGACATTCTTATCTGAGGCAGCTCATGGAACTGTAACCCGTCATTTCCGACAGCATCAAAAGGGACAAGAAACCAGTACAAACAGTATTGCTTCCATATTTGCATGGACACGAGGACTGGAACACAGGTATTTTTTTTGATTCTCTTCTTTTTCTGAAAATTACCCAATCAATTAGAATATTTGTATTGTTGACTTTGCAAAGGGTGCCATAGCCCGACCTGTCTATGACTATTTTAATCTGTACTGAAGAAGTTGAGTCATATGCTATTGGCAAGTATAGTATATGCTTGTTTGCTGCATGAATAGATAATACTATGCCTTTGGCAACCATTTTGTGCTTAGATGTAAGTTGTAAACACCCAAGTGAAGGAAGGGGCAGTGAGGGAGGGAGGAAATTCTAGGATTGGTGGCCTAATGAAATTACATAAGATTAGAATGAATTATTTGGATTCAAGAAATGCTTGAACAAATTGGAAACCGGGTGAAGATTATGATGTTTATTTTATTACATGGCTGGGCTTAGTTGTGCATAGTTAAGTCTGGTTATGCTAGGATCACAGTAGGAATGTGTATTTTTGAAATTCTGATGAATTCTGTGCCTATCGTGATGAATAATATTGTGTGTTTTGAACTCCACATTTTGAAAAAGTTCTTTGTACTATATGTTCAGGTCTTTTCGCAACAAACATTCTCTTCTGAATACCATATTTTTATCTTATCAGGGCCAAACTTGATAAGAATGGAAAGTTGTTGGATTTTGCTCACAAGCTAGAGGCTGCATGCATCGAGACAGTGGAGACCGGGAAAATGACCAAGGATCTTGCCATTTTGATCCATGGACCCAAGTAAGTGGCAATGTCCCTTAATTTATTCTACAAGAAGTTTATGATTTGACTCTCCAATTACTCTTTATCAGTTCCATTTTTTGTTAATCTTTTTTGAAATTGTGTTGCCCTTTTCTTTTTGGGGTGTGGGGGATGGGAAATATACTGTAGTGGTGTATCAGTCTTCGAGATGAATTGAAATATGGGTGTACCAATCAAACCAGATACATAGATAATGGTAATTCAAATTGATGGGGAGGGTAATTCGTGAAGTAGTCACCAAATGATTATGTTGATCAAGTGAGAAGTTTAGTTCCCCTGAACTTCTTGAAAATGAAGTTTAAAGGGTGGTTAATATAGGAAACAAGACCTCAGTTTGGCTTGGAGCGATAGAAAAACAGATTTACTCTACAATTGATAAGGCCATTGTGTTTGGCCAGGGCAACAAGAGAGATAATGCGACTCTCAGGCTCAAAAAACTGAAGAACTAATCTTTCTGCTGCTACCATTGTACATGCAGTAATACTTTTCCCTTTTACCAGAGGAAGGCCGTACAGTAAGCCATCAAATGTCACTGGTAGATATGCACATTTTCTACCAAATAAAACAACAATTAAATTGATCTCGTTGTATAAATTCTAATGATTTAGAATGACATATATGCTAGACCCCCTCCTGCAAGCTAGAACTCAATTGCAATCCAATTTGGGCAAAAATTATTTTGGGAATGTTTACTCTGTTCATTAGGCAAATAGACATATCCACCTTGAAAAGTTATTGCTGGCATCTGTTGAGTATAAGATGAGTGAAAGTCAACTGCTTGTCATGTGGGGAAAACCATGACTGTACCACTACAAAAGATTGGGTGACATGTATGTGTTCGAAGGGGAACAGGGGAAAGCTAAATGAACTTCGTCCATTGCAGTAGTAAAAATATGTTGCTCTCAAAACTTAGTTAAATCATAGAAGTTAGAACTACAGTTCTATTCCCAGGTTGAAATGCCGACTGTGACTATCGGGTGACTATCTGGAGAACCTAGGTTTGAATTCTCTCTCACATTGTTGTACATCTAAAAAAATTAGACATACGATAAAAGTTGGAGGGTGAGTCTTGGTACAACGGTAAGGTTTCTCCATTGTGAGGTAGGTGTTAAGGGTTTGAGTCGCGGAAATGTCCTCGCCTCACGTGCGTAAGGTTGTGCATTTGACTCTCCAAAACCAGCAGTGGTGGGAGGTTTTTACACTGGACCACCTTTATTAGCAAGACGTGATAAAATCTATGGGTATTATTAATGTACATGCAATGTATATGTTTTGAATGTCTAAGATATAATGGCCAAAACACGGTATAAGATGTTGGATTATGTATTTCAATGTATATAATTCGTTTAAGCACTGATAGAATTTGAGTCTAAACTAATGTTTGTAGCTCTAAAGGTGAGTTTTGTTTCGTTAAACCGCCTTTGAACTTACCAGCTCATGACATAAAATCTGGAGTTGAAAAAAATGCAAAACATAAAATTAGTTTTCTTTTAATGTTGAAGAAAAATGCCACTTTAGAAGCTCCAATGAATTTCTATCATGTTTACTTGAACTGCTTCAAACACAATTCTATGGTAAACTAGCTAGAAAAGGGGGTACCCTGTTTCTGTGTTTTATCATGCTGATTAGTTCAGGATTGCCAGTAATATAGGTCCAACATGCTTGCAGTACTTTTTTTTGGGTAAAACCTTATTAATTCATACCTTGGTGTACATACAGGGTTTCAAGGGAGTTCTACCTGAACACAGAAGAGTTCATTGATGCCGTCAAACAGAATTTGGAGTCTAAGCTTCGTGCACCTACATTACAAAGTAGTCTGTAGTTTTAGGAGAGAGTTATTGAGGAAAACTTAACAAGGTGGGGAACATTGCTGGTGGAATAGGGCCATGAACGGCAACTATACATATCTGCTTGCTTGTGAAGGGGGAGTATATTGCAAGCTGTGCTTGAGAACATTTTATGATCCGAGTTTCTGTTGTCTTGCTGAAATCTTTGTTTTGAAAGGACAAACTATAGATGATGTTGGCAAGTGGGGTTGAGCAGCAATTAGAAGTTGATTTCAATAGCACCCTTTTCTGCCATTGTTAGGGTTTTTAGATAGTGCATCTTAATGCAATTTTTTATACTTGAGGCAAATGGTATGTTACTATTGCGGTTTATTTTTTTGCAAAAGTTTATGTTCACAATGCATGTCTTTTTCCGAAATCCACACTTGCTTATTTATTGTGGCTGATAGACTCTCTCTCTCTCTCTCTCATGCCGGCTTTTGTGCTTCGAATTTATGGTATGTGGTGGAAGTAGTTGGTTGTGTCCTCGTGCCAAATGGTGGGTCTATAGGATTGAAGGTGCGGGGTTTGGAAAACCCTTTTATTGTAATACCGTTAACTATAAACTATGTAGGTTTGCGCACTTAGAAATGTTCAGAAATTTAAGCAATGTCTTCCAGGTTAAAATTACTGGACCAGGCCTCCTTTGCTTCTAGCTATGCAGGTAGGTATGGATTGAATAATGCATGCATTATGAATTTATGATAGTAGGATAGTGGCTTCTATTTAAAGACAGGTTGACCCAGTTCATTGGTGAGGAACGACTTGATCTTCATTGATGCTTTTAATTGTTCTGATTCGGACTCAGTCCCCTATTGCGGAAAATTGCTATTGCTTCTGTGGACCCACTTTGACAATTGACATTAGACTGGGCTCCCTTCTAGCAACTCGCAATGATTATGATTCTTCATGTTCTCACCGAATTGTAAGATGACTATGACATATGATCTTCTTTACAAAGCGGATAAAGATGATTCTGTTCCACCTAAACCGGATATGGATGAGTTTAACCCTCGCCTCTTCAGTTCTGCTAGACATGTATTAGAGGATCCACCAATTTATAGGAGTAAAGCTTGGTAAATTTATTAGATAAGAATGGCAACCCCACTTTGAAAGCAATCAATCGTGTGGGTTAGGCTTTGAGTCACCATCAGCGTATTTAAAATCTTAAACCCATGAGTTTACGTTTGGCTTTTTATGCGATGGAATCTATTGCCTTGGTACGGGTTTGGCTGACCACTTTGAATCACAACACAAAGATGCTTATTGAGAAAATATTAGCCTAATGGTAATTTTCATGCTGTCATTGATACTAGACAACAAAATCAATAATAATTCATTTAAACCTAATAAAGTAAGCTTAATTTATATTCAATAACAAAACATTTAATTGCAATTACACATTATTGATTTCATACTCCTCGGATAGAACCAACAAAATAATTACTTTTTAAGGTGTTTTAGTTGCATTGAGACCCAAAAGAATTAGACATATACCACTCCTTAAATTTAGCAAATGGTAAATAAAACGACCAATCAAGCATCTAAGTAAGGAGAGATAATAAATTTGTTCAGAGTGTATACACTTTCTTATATATTTAACCACACGTCACAAACTAGTGTGAAACAATTTTTTGGCCTCAATTGTTCCATTTCAAATTAGACGAGTCCTTTTATTATTATTGATTTGTAATATTATGTATATAATATGTAATATATAATAATACAAAAAGTCCCATAATTTTAGGTGCAGTCCAAAAAAAATTAAATCTATTAAATTTTAAGCCCTATAAAAAAGTCCTCAAAAATTAAATTCAATTATTGCAATAGTTTGAGCTTATAATCCAATCCATAATACTAAAAACATAGAAATTGAAAAAATAAAAAAAAATATTTAAAAGCCAACTCATATTTATTATCATCTACTCTACTCTCTCTCTCTCTCCAGTAAAAAAAATAAAAAAAAAATTAAAATTAAAATTAAACATCCTCTCTGTGATAAAAAATAAATATAAAAGTTAAAATTTCTTTTTCGACAATATTAACATATTTTTTTTTGTCTCTCTCTCATATAAAAAATTAAAAATAAATTAATTTTTTTTAAAAAATAATATTAAAAATAAGAAGACATTCATTTAATATTTTTACTTTAATCTTAAATTGGTTTGATCCGTACCTTCCCATTTATCCGCGAAAAAAGGACGGAAAAAAAAAAGGGAGGTACCGCTCATCGCGTGCCTATATATTGAATAGGTAGAGATGTACCACTTATCGGTGCGCCTAGGGTTTCAGTATCGGTGGAGAGAGAGAGAGAGATGGCTACATCCAAGGCTAAGGAGATCGTTTCCGCCAACCCCGTCGTCGTCTTCAGGTCCCATTTCTTGGCCTCTCCTCCATATATCCTTCTGGTTATTTATATCTTCTCTCTGTAATTTATAGTTGATCGATGGATCTGTGGATTTTGGCAGCAAGACGTACTGTCCGTTCTGCGTGAGCGTGAAGAAGTTGCTCACTGAGCTCGGTGCCTCCTTCAAGGCTATTGAGTTGGACACTGAAAGTTGGTATTCGATACTTTCTCTCTGTTTGCGATTTTTAGCTGTATTCATATCAACTATGGAAATTTTCTATATTTTTAGTTTTTCTCTTTGATTATTTGGACGAAAATTATTTTAATGGAAACCAAAGATCATATAGTTTTGGAAAATCAGAGACATTTTTCATATATATCGGCAACAATCGAGATGATAAAACTGGATTTGTTTGATCAGAAGATCCTTATCGAATACTCTGTAATTACAGTTATAGTAGTACTTTCAATTGTTTGGGGGTGAAAATAGTACTCTGTAATTTTTTGGTTTACGTTTTAAAAATAGTATTCGAATATAATTTTTGAAATTTTTTTTAAGAAAGTAGTTTTAATATTTTTTTAGATAAAAAATTTGTTTGGTTAGATAATTTCAAAAACAATTTTACAATACAGAAAATAGTAAAATCTGTTTGGACAGGCTAAATATATATTTGAACAGTAATTTAAACATTAATAAAAAAAGATAAAAAAAATTATTTTTATATTAACAATTTAATAATATATATATATATATATATCTGAAGATCCAAAATTGTTTCCCTTATTTCCAAAATTTTTAAAGAAAATTCTAAAAACAAGTTAAACTTGTTTTTTGTTTCTTTGACTCGGATATCATTTTTTTCCATAATTTAGAGAACAAAATGTTAAAAAAATAAGTTTTGAGTGTTATTGAAATTTTGAGAACAAAAAACTATTTTCGGAACACAAACCAAACATGACCCTAGTTTTTCACAATCAGAAATATACATGATATATATTGTCAATAATCATGGCGAAATTGGATATAAGATGATAGATTGGAAAAAATATTTGATAACCGACATCAATCTAAAAGAGTATATAAATTGTTAGTTGAATATAAAATATGATCAAAATTTTGTGAGATAAAGAGTAATTGGCATATCAGGAGTAATTGACCTATAAAATCTGATGAAGTTTTGATCCAAGTTTTAGAAATCTTTCATCATATTGTTGGTCAGTAATACACATATCCACACGCTAGCATTGTGGTAGATATACCTGTGGGAAAACATAAGATCTATTCCTTGTCCAAATAATGCACTATTCATTTGTTTCTTGTCCAAACTATGCCTTCCATTTCTCATGCTGATGACCATAGATAAATCTGTGGAAGGTGATGATATTGTCGTGACACACCAAACAAGTCTTCCATGTCTCATGCTAGTTTCCTTGTTTAGTACATTAAAAATTATCATTAACTTGCGTTTTCATCACTTTCCCTTCTTTGAATACAGATTACAGACCCATCTTTTGTATGTGTGTGTGTACGCCCTCAAAATTTTCAATCTAAAAATAAGATGAGGTAATAATTGGAATTTGTTTTCATGTTGTAATATCTACCTTTGACAATTTCACGAAAACCCGAAAGGATTTTGCTTTGCTTCTCAATACTGTGCAATTCTCACTCAATGATCACCCTAATTACAGAATATATGATGTTTACAATCGTGTCTTTGGATCGTTTTTACATCGTATCGTACAATACGCAATACATTTTTGTTTTTGGTTTTTTGGGGGTGAAACAAGTTTGTTTTATCCAATACTTATTTTTTAATCGCTATAGCCCGTGAAACGACGTTGTTTTAGTGTCTATGGTTTAAAAAATAAATGAAGGTTGTCTTTTTTTTTTTAATTGACAAAGACCAAGGAAATTGTCCACCAAAAGACCATAAGGGAGATGCCATTGGCTGTGACTCCCATCGGCCGCCTTCCTAAGGTTTTTCCTTCTTCGACTGGATCTGCAAAGGATCTTCGACTGTTTGAATTAGTCTATGACTGTTTAGAAGTTTAAATTAAGAGATCTTTGCATTTTGATATTAGTGAACTATGTTAGAAACTTGAATAGTTGGTGAAATATTAATGAAATGTTATGTTATTATGAGTCTATGTTTTTTTTGCAAAAGTATATATATTTTGTTAATAATTATTTAAAATTGTGTTGTATCTTACGATACATGATACGATAGACTATTTTTAAAAAATGATACTGATACGTGATTTGACAATTATGATTATAAGAGAGTAACCTATTCTAACACTATATGCTTGACGATGATTATGTGTGCCGCTTAATTATTCTTAATGAGATAATCTATATAGTGTGGGACAACCATCTTTTGTGTGTGTGTAAATTTTGTAATTTAAAAACCTTAGCTGATACTTTGCATTTGTTTTTCATGTTTTGAAGCTGATGGGAGCGAGATTCAATCAGCACTGCGTGAATGGACTGGACAGGGGACTGTGCCTAATGTGTTCATTGCTGGCAAGCACATTGGTGGATGTGATGGTATGCCCTTAATCCCTTAATACTATTTGTACTAATTCCAGTTGTTATTAACTTTATTATTTCCTCCTCAGGGCTCATTATGTATTGTATTCTTTTTGCAGCCACCACTGCCATGCATAAGGGAGGGAACCTCATGCCATTGCTAAATGAAGCTGGTGCAGTTGCTAAATCTTCAGCTTAGAGGCTTTATCCTATCTGTCGATAAGTGTTATGAACACTATGCTAATAAAAGTGTTGCTGTCTATTTTAGTTGCTTGTGTAAGTGTACTCCGTTGCGTTCTCGAAAACCAATTTAATCTTTTATATGAAGTTGTGAATTGAGGTGATGATTTATGGGCAGCATATATTTAAATATATGGTGAAATAGTTCTAATCTGGTTGGGTGGAAGGGAGGGAGGGAGGGAGGGAGGGAGGGAAAGGTGTTTTCTGCTTCGTCGTTTGGTAGGGGATGTAAAGTAGGAGGGATACACTTTTTATCTTTTAAGAATAAAAAGTAGGAATGATACATTTTCTTTCCTTTGTGGTTGGTTTGTGTTTGGTTTGATGAATGAAAAATAAAAATGATCATTTTTTTTTTTGATTATGGCTAAGATTAGGGATGACAATCGAGTCGTGTCGTGTCATCGTGTTGAGTCGAAATTTTTTTTAATATATATATATATATACATACATATTTTACCGTTGTATTTTTATATGAAATTAATGTATATATAATATATGTATATATAAAAAGATATCTAGACAAATAAGATATATCTCAATACAAATAATTAACTTTTTATTCACTTTTCTTTCGATTTTGAAGGGATTAATTTTAGTTAGTTGGAAGGAAAATTAATTCATCTATTTTTTCATCTTTATTAAATATTATGTTTTATTTATCCCTCAAATTTTTTATCCTCATAATTTTTTATCCTTCCACTTCTTCATCGTATCAAATGGAGGATTAGATTCTGAAAATTAGAAAGATGTTTCAAATTGGTATTTCTCCTTCTAAGGTCAGGGGCAGCGCTCTGCACCAAATTCTCGTTCTACTTGTTGTTCCTGCGATTTGCACTGATAATGTCCAGTTAAATTTCTCTTCTAGGGGTGTCTATGGATCGGATTTGGCCCATGAGACCCATTACTTGGCTCAAAAAATTAGATCTAAAATTTAATGAAAAAATTAGAAAAAGGTACACCAAATTAGACTTATAAAAAAATACACAAAAAAAAATATTGGATAATTGAGTCCTTAATTTTCATACTTATTTGTATCTAAATATATTATTTTAATTTTATTGATTTTTTTTGTGATATTCTTGTCTTACATTGATTCATGTGTATTTTTTTTTGAAAAATTGTGCATTAAATATCTTTTAGTTTTATGGGAGAACTTTAACATTTCATATTTCATATTTGTATGTATGTATTTATATATATAATTGTTGTTAAATCTCTTACCTAAATTTTAAATTATTTTTAATACACATTGATTCATGCGTATTTTTTTTTTGAAAAGTGATTTTTTTTTAAAATTATATTTAATTTACCTTGATTCATGCATTTTTTTTTTGGAAAATAATTTTATTTTTAAATTTATTTAATATCCGAATAGTGTAATAGTGTAACAAACTATTTATACAAAATATTATACTATTACATTTTGTTAAACATATAGTTTCATATAATCTCATTCAAAATAGTCAATCTCCATTTTAAATTTGTTATTACATGCTCGAAACTATTGAACACTGTTTTTGTTACAGTATATTTGTTATACTATTATGGAGTTCAAATATTAACAAATTTTGAAATTCAAACAAGTGATATATTCTAAAATAAATGAAATATTAAAATTCTCCCATAAAATAGTAGTAGTAAATATTTAATGCATAAATATAATTTAAAAATAAAACCACTTTCTAAAAAAAATACACATGAATCAAGGTGCATTAAACATAATTCAAAATTTAAATAAGAGATTTAACAACAAATATATATATATATATATATATATATATATATATATATATATATATATATATATATTAACAAATACACATGAATCAAAGTGTATTAAAAATAAGAGATTTTGAATTAAATGACCCTAAAATGAGCATTTACGTCTTTGTATTTCAGTTGTGTACTTTTTTTTAAAACATTTTGTTTTATATACTTTTTGTCAAATAAGTCTAATTAAGTATATCAACTTTCAAATAATCCAAATTTAATAGGCTGTATAGTTGGTTCACCCAAACTTGAATTTAATATCCTTCGAGAGAGAATTTTGGGCCTGCCCTCAAGCCAATTACTCGGCCACAAAAACTTAGTCCATTAGCCCACTCATAAAAACCCAGCCCAAGAACCTACCCACCCAGCCCACCGTCCACCCACTTTGTTTGAAAATTAGGTATATTCTTCTAAAAAAAAATTATTTACTTAAATAATAAGTTGATTAATCTAAGGTATTATTTATTATTTACTTTTTGTCCATTTTAACTCTATTTTTAATTCAAAAATATAATTTACAAAAATACTAAGTTAAAAACTTTTTAAATGAAGAATTATATATCTATAAATTTGTCCAATGAATTACGGTTTGAGTTATAGGTAACTTTTCTTTACCCGAAGCTCACACAACTGATAAAACTATTGGAGCTTCCTAGCCGTTAGGGTCAGAGTCTCTTGTTTTAGGCTTATTTCTGTTAAGTTGAATAAGTCTTCCCTAAACTTGAGGAACAAGATTACTTTCTGTTTAATGTAGTCATGCACCACGATTATAGGACCTGTAAAGTCGTGGGTGGTTATTTTTCCTTTCTATCTTATTGTAAGGCTATTTATTAGCCAGAATAGTTGTTAAGTTAATTGAGTATTCTCCCAGCTTTCATGCAATCAGACTTTGCAAAGCTCTCTGTTATCTCTCTGATTTTAACATCTGGTATCAGAGCCTCCTCACGAGGTCTGATCAAAACTTGTGACTCAGATATTAGAGTGAAGAACCAGAGACATGGCATCCGAGAATAGCTTCGTGCAACCTGCCATTCCAAGGTTTGATGGTCACTATGACCATTGGAGTATGCTGATGGAGAATTTTCTGCGTTCCAAAGAGTATTGGAACTTAATAGAGACAGGGATCACTGCTGCAGCAGAAGGATCAGATCTTAGTGAGACACAGAGGAAGACCTATGAAGATCAGAAGTTGAAAGATCTCAAGGCCAAGAACTATTTGTTCCAAGCCATTGATCGTTCGATACTGGAGACCATTTTGAAGAAGGATACGGCGAAAGATATATGGGATTCTTTGAAGCAAAAGTATCAAGGAACTGCACGTGTCAAGCGAGCTCAATTGCAAGCTCTTCGCAAGGAGTTCGAAGTGTTGCATATGAATGTTGCAGAGTCGGTTAATGATTATTTTGGCAGAACTCTCACCATAGCTAACAAGATGCGAACGCATGGGGAGCGAATGGATGATGTGGTAATCGTTGAAAAGATATTGAGGTCTATGACTTCAAAATATGATTACGTTGTTTGCTCCATTGAGGAATCCAATGACCTGGACAACATGTCCATAGACGAGCTTCAGAGCAGCCTCTTGGTGCATGAACAGCGAATCAGCCGACATGTGAACGATGAACAAGCACTTCAGATCACTCATGGTTCCCAGCAAGGAAGAAGAGGTGCAGGCAGAGGCACTTACCGAGGACGAGGAAGAGGAAGGGGTAGGTTTGGGTTCGACAAATCTATCGTAGAGTGCTACAATTGTCATGAACTAGGGCACTTTCAATGGGAATGTCCTAAGCAAGACAAGGAACAAAAAGCGAATTATGCTGAAACAAAGGAGGAGATGCTGTTGATGGCTCTTGTAAATTCCAATGAGACTGCAACGGAGCACATTTGGTTTCTTGACTCTGGGTGTAGTAACCATATGTGTGGAAAGAAAAACATGTTTGTTGATCTTGATAGCAGTTTTCGAGAATCGGTGAAGCTTGGCAATGACTCGAGTATTAGCGTACAAGGCAAGGGTAAGATACGAATGGAGGTAAATGGGTTTGTGCATGTAATCACAGAAGTCTTCTACGTACCAGACCTGAAAAACAACCTGTTGAGCATCGGTCAATTGCAGGAAAAGGGGCTGGCAGTACTTATCCAACATGGAAAATGCAAAATCTTTCACAGTGAGAAAGGTTTAATCATGGAAACAGAGATGACACACAATAGAATGTTTTCTGTGCTTGCTCGTTGCGCACCAAAGGAACAGCAATGCTTCTCCTCACTGATCACAGATCAAGCAGACCTTTGGCACTGCCGATATGGACATCTCAGCTGGAATGGGCTCAAAGTGCTTCAACAAAAAAACATGGTGGCAGGGTTACCTCAGTTTAAAGCCTCTCAAAAGGTGTGTGAAAACTGCCTGGTGGGAAGACAGCACCGTGATCCATTTCCTAAAGAAAGCATGTGGAGAGCCTCCAACATTCTTCAGTTGGTGCATGCTGACATATGTGGGCCAATCAAACCTATTTCAAATGGCAAAAAACGGTATCTTATCACCTTCATCGATGACTTCAGCAGAAAGACTTGGGTATACTTCTTGGTGGAGAAGTCAGAAGCTTTTTCCACATTCAAATCTTACAAAGCCAGAGTTGAGAAGGAAACTGGAACATACATACGGAGCCTTAGAACAGATCGTGGGGGAGAATTTACATCACAGGATTTTACCAACTTCTGCAATGAGCATGGAATTCATAGACAATTGACGGCTGCCTATACACCCCAACAGAACGGTGTCGCGGAAAGGAAGAACCGTACCATTATGAATATGGTGCGAAGCATGTTGACAGCAAAGCAAATCCCTAAGACCTTTTGGCCTGAAGCAGTGAATTGGACGGTGTATGTTTTAAATCGATGTCCAACTCTTGCTGTGAAGAACAAAACACCTGAAGAAGCATGGAGTGGGCACAAGCCATCAGTGGACTATTTTCGAGTTTTTGGATGCATTTCTCACGTCCATGTACCTGACAACAAGAGGGTAAAACTTGATGCCAAGAGTTTCAAATGCATACTATTGGGGGTAAGTGAGGAATCCAAGGCTTATAGATTATTTGATCCACTTTCAAATAAAATAATTATTAGCCGAGATGTGGTATTTGAAGAAGATCAGCAATGGAACTGGGATGATGGTCACAAACAAGCCATATTTGCTGAGCTCGAATGGGAGACTGAAGAAGAAGCAGAAGTGGAAGACGAGGGAGATGGAGAAGAGTCTGAAACCAATGAAGAATCTGGAGAAACTGAACTCGAGTCTGAAGGAGGTAACATTTCAAATGAAGAAAACTCACCTTGTGAAATACGAGCTCGGAGACCACCAGTGTGGATGCAGGACTATGAAACTGGACAAGGCCTCTCAGATGAAGAAACTCATAACCAGGCACA